GTTACCTACTGTAAGTATGGCGCAACTCCACTAAGTAAGTCAATTAATATGTTCATAGTTCGAATCTGGTCATCGGCGCTTATTTAAGTATTTTCAATGATTTAAACGCGTTTATCTAAAATTACAACATGTTTCGACTTAAAAAAACGCAATTTACAGATCGCCTTCTAGATTTGAATTTTTGCGTTTTTATTTATAAAAAACCCGTTGAAACGTGTTTTATAAAACAGGCAAATGCTCTAGCGAAATCATGTTCGAAAAAAAAGAACGCATTCAAATGCACATTTTTTTGAATTTTTTTTTCATGGGTGTTGTCATTTAACTTCATCATTATATTTTTTTATCAGCATTCACCAGAAAGTTCAATATAATAAATTTCCTCATAAAGTAAGATAAGATATTTAAATGTTATAGAAATTTCAGAATACGTATTTTTCACTTTCTAATTGTTTATCTTTTTCATATAGATATTCCTGATAGTAAACTCCTGTTGTCGGTCTTTTTTTCATCAGTTAATTTTGGTACATTTTAATGATCGTTAGTTTTTTTAGTTTCATCTTCCTCATACCTTGTCCAAACTCTAATAGTCACATTCTTTAATCAACTCTCATTTGGTTGTGTGTAATGGCTTATGTTGCTTCTTGTTTCTCGTGAGAACTAAAAATCTTAGAGTGTCAATTAATATTAGCTATGGCTTGTGCATGGTATGAGGAGATGAGGAAAAACTAGGACAATCGACAGAAACTTGTGTTGTGTGTCTTAGAAAAGCGATGACAGAAAATTGAACGGAAATAACCGCATAGTATGGACACTACAGAGGAAAACATATCAACTGTAAATCCAGAACGAGAAGCAGAAGAAAGGGAGAGTGATAACGGTAAAACTACAACTGCATGAAAAATCAAAATGATCAGGAAGTAAAGAAGCATCTTTCCAGATTGTATTTCCTAGATTTTATTTATTTGGAACCACGGTTTTCATAAATTGTCGTTTGGAAATTTCCCTATAAATCATATATTTAACAAACCTAATTTTTGTTATATTTTAGAAGTTAGCAGAACATGCAATTGTAGGAATATTTCATCTATTGGATATGATATTATTTCTAAAAACAGTTAAGCCGATAAAATCTCTTCAAATTCTTATCTCAGTGAGTAAACTTGTATTTTTTATTTCAAAAGTAGTTCACGTTCTTTCGGACAAGGAAAAGGACAATATCTTGGTCAGTCCTCAATATTAGAGGAAGTATAGCTTTCCTAGAGAGCCTCGTCTCGAATTTTTAGAGCTTTTAGATTTTTAGCGTCTCATTTTGTCTTCTTTTTATCGTATAGATTAATCATTTATGTTGCATACTTGTTCATACAGTGATGTTCTATCGTATGCATTTAACAATCAGAGCTGAAGACAACTCTTCAACAACAAATAATCCAACTGCTGCTTCTACTACTTTTATACTTGATAATCAACCTGCTCATGCAACTACTCATCCAACTGCTGTTGTATTTATTCATTCATCTGGTGATGCATGTGATGATTCACTAATTGAACTTTCTCCTCGTCCAATATCCGAATAACTTCGGTGCAATATTAATGACTTTCCCTGTCTTTCATTTTTTTCTCTAAAATAAAAAAGCATTTTTGTGATTCATGATACATTATTATATTTTCTGTTTGCACTATTATCTGCTGAATCAATTAATACGTCATACTGTATTCTATTAATTTTTTTAGAAGTCAAGTGTTTGCAAGCTTTTTCAACTGAATCATCATGGCATATGCTCCAGCAAATGAAAGTGACAAGCAAACTTTACCTATACTTTTATCACCCGAAAAACAATCACAATATTATATTGTCAACAATCATGTAAGTTTTATTTCAATAGCTTCGTTTTTTTTCTAAGCAGCTTAGTGAATTTCATGAATCGATAAGAGATTATTTTTGATTACAATATTTCGACTTCTTTCATCGACTGAACAAGTGATAGAAATCTGTATTTTTATAGCCAAATACTTTTTGCAGAGCTAAAATTTTTGTGTTTATCTAGTTTCCCATTATTATATACAAAAAGTTAGTGTAGTATTTTGTTTAAACCTAAATGACTCAAAATTTCTTTCTAATATATAGTTATTTTTATGATAAAAATTATATTGCAAACAAATGAATTTTCCATTGATTCTTTTAAAATCTAGTATGTCTCATTCAGAAATTGTAGTACGACTAGAACTTGTATAAAATGTTGAAAAATTGTGTAGGAAAAACGTCTCACTGACAGAGGAGGTAAATTTAGCATTATTTTTGAAACACAAAAGTAACGCCTCAGTGATAGCTTGAAAGTTAGCTGCTTATCAATACAGAGATGTATTCAAATTCTAATGAACAGATAAAGACTACGTTTAATCTGTCGAGCATTTAAACTACTAGATAAGCCAATATTTGCTTTTTAATCAAGATCACTTAGATAAATATAAACTATTATTTCGGAAATGCAAATTCTTAGACGTTGTATTAATTGATTTTAATCAATTTATCCAATAACAAGAACGATGTCTTTCAGCTATTTTATTTTGCATTTACAGACTTGGTCATTACGGTTCGGCTTGATCTGTATGACTTCGGCGATTGTCTTCGTGACGTTTTGGAGCTTGTATCAAGTTATCCAAGCTTTTGTAAGTATTATTCTTATTTATCCATTTGTCAGCTGTATACATTTATACTCTGAGAAGAGTCATAAGAAGTGTTTTAAAAGTGCCACCTACTAGTCAAACTAGAAATGTCGTCTTAACTTCGAACGGATGAGATGATGCATATAAAACATCAATTACCGTATCATACAGTACTGCCAGAGATTCAGGAAACTTGGGATACAGGAGACGTCTTCATCTTTTGAAGCGATGAGTTTGAAGATGCGCCATTTCTGTATGACATGATGTTATTTCCCTCACTTTGACTTTCATCTACAGTATCTCTCATATCTAGTTGCATTTACCACTTTCTTGACTTTCTGAATACATAAAAACACTCATGCACACACAAATTTCAAACAGTTCTTTTCATATTCAAGAAAAATTTTAAATATTCTTCAAAAGATGTTTTTTGAACTGACAGCTACGAGAACGAGTAGCCTCTTTTTTTCCGTCATTAGATTTTCAGCAACTAAGATAATAATTAATTTTTGCGTATATATAGTTTATGTACGAAAGCGGTTTGAGAATAATTCTGTGGAAAAAGCTTTTAATAGAGAGAACGAAATTAGAAAAACCTAATTTAAGCCTCACAAGTCGGTATTATTGAAAACAGAAAAAGATCAAAATTCAGGAAGAAAACATCAAATTTTTGTTTCATTGCTACATGAGTACATTATACAGATATTTGTAGTTTTCTCAACGAATTCTCATTCTATAAAAAGAATGAAGCTTTCACAGTAAGTTATAAGTAATCAAAGATTTATCTGGAGTGTAAATATGAGAACAAATGACAATAGTCGAGAGAAATAATTGAAAAAAAAAGTTGTTATTGTTTATTCATTGAATTTTCCTCCATTGTGCTCTACTTTTTTCCATATGAATTATTCGCTCGATTTGAATTTTTTTTCCGTCAGTTTTGTCCTGTAAATATAAACTATTTGTATGATTATGCTCTATCATTTAATGTTATAATAACTTTGATTTGCTAGCAAGGCTTTTCTTTCTACATCTGTTTATCACGAGGAATACAAAAAAAAACAATAAATGTTTGTACGATATTGAATCCAGGATTATTTTGAATAATGTCAAAATATTATCATTTTGCTGAATAGACATCAATTAATTTAAAACTTTCAAAAATATTTTTAAATATTCAATAGATCTTACCAATGAATTCGTCTTACACAGACGGTTATTTATTTCTAATGGTCTTCTTAACGATGATCAGTTTAGATGCATATGTGCTCTTTGTAACAATTCCCTGTGGCATCCATTTTCGACTTTTTATTATCGCCAAGTTAGCCATGCTTCTACATTCTGTTTTGTCATATTGCCGAGTAAGTGATAGATTTCTTTTATATTTTATTATGAAAAACCAAAGTATTATAAAAACAAATTAATACTAAGGGTCGAATAAATTTTCATTATTAATATATCTATCAATGATTGTAATATGCACACTAAATAAAACTCGACGAGTATATATGTATATATGTATATATATATATATACAGAATGCATAGATGTCATAATACCTTTACACTGGGTATCGAGAGTTTTACGTCACAATACCCTATGCAGCAATAATTTATGGAGTATCCATTCTTAGTGCATCTACAATCTGATGTAACCACACTAAGCGTATCCACTTTTGGGTATCCACATATATATATAAATGTGTATACCCAAAAGTGGATGCACCTACTGTGAATACTCTAACGTGTTTGCGGTAAAAAAAGTCGTTACCGGGTGTAAGGATATTATGGCATCACTCGCAGGATGTTCCATAAATAACATAGTGATAGAAAAATTTAGATATCTTCACTCCGCCTCAAATCAAATGAGCTGAATTTTTGGTTAATAGTAGAACTTTATTCAAATTTGTTTTTCATACAGATAATGTATCACTATGTTATTTATGGGACAACCTGTAGTTGCACTGTCAGTGTAAATTTGATACAATTTTTGATGTTTTGCCAATCTGTCTTTCTTTATTTTTTAATAATTATTAGTTAAATTGATCAAGACTGCTCGAAGAGATGTTAAGATTGTTCATGTGGTTGTTGTTATTTTTCTATCTTATAGGACCAATATTATCAACTTATGACAACAATATCCAATTTGCTTTCCAAACTGTTGATGAAACTCAAATCTACTTATCATTCATTTGTTGATTTAAATAAACAAAATATCACAACGGTCTAAAAATTATTATCACGTTGTTAGTTCTAGTCTATGTATCTAAATATATATATTGTACATGTCGGTCGATGCTCAAAAATTAATTGAGAATCTTTGCGAAAGAAAGATTTTGATATTCTTTATTGCTGGTCATCTGTTAACATTATCATGAATCAATTATGAACTAAACACACTGTATAGATTTTGGATATATATATTTGTTTAATATGAAATCAATACTCATCAATAAAATATGCACTGTTTATTCAATAGAAAGTGTACTTCTCGAAATCTCTATGTTGGTCTTAAAGAAAACGTTCTCAGAAAATAAATTGTTGATATAATTATCTAGCACGTTTTATTACATGAACTGATTTTTGCTTAGGAATGAAGTGTAAATATGATTTAGATAATTATTTTCCAAACACCAATATTATTTTTTGGATTAGCTAGACTGTAACTAATAGTTCAATATATGCCATAAGTGGTGTAAAAAAGTTAGCAAAATGATTGAAAAATTTAATGAATAAAATCAAATAAAATTGTCGAATGACTATTATGATGCCTTTCTATATGAATTAATTGGTTTTCTTCCTGATGAGATAAGTTTTTAAAAGATATTCTAACCTTATATGATTAAGACAAAATAATAATTTTATTTAGTTTAAAATATTATATCAGTAGGTGCAGATGCACATTTAATGCATTAAGCGATCTCATTCATGACTGTGCTGGATAAAACTTTCAACTTTTAGTTACTCCTCCAGGTTTATGTGTACGAATCACATAGTAGCGTCTACTAACGTTTTGTCTCTGCGGATGTTGTCCAACAGAGTAAAAAGCTTCCCAAATCTTTTCTCTGGAGTCAGTGATGATCAAAAAGGAACAAAGTCGATCTTTCATCTTGAGAACAAAATAAGACATCTTTATATCTTATTCATTTTTGCATGATATTTCCTCAAACTGTTTACTGTTGTTCAATCTTCTAGCTTTTAATAATTTAACGTAAACATGAATTAGATAAATTAAAAAATAAGAAAATTATTTTTCTTGTTAGTGAACCAGGTAAGTCTTGATTTCATTGTATTAAATAATGAAGAATTATTTTTATAGTAGAATTCGGAAAGGATACACAATGTAACGAATTGTGCAAATATATGATTATACACATTTGAGTACTTGGTACGAATGTAAAGTACAGTTAGATGTTATTTTTATTATTCATATAACATTAGTATACTATATCGAGTGACAAATTGAGAGTTTCTGTCTGATTACAAAAAGCTGACATATACACTCACTTCTTTTTCCGTTTTGTCAGTGAATTTGTGTCTGTAGTCGCTAACAGACCGAACGAATTAGAACTATTGAAGCATATAATTTTTGATGAAAAAATGGCAACGGTGCAATCAGAAGACTGTTGTCTTTATTTTCGTTTATTGCTGTAAATAATCTTCTCATTTAATATAATCACTCGAATTTGACTATGTGCAGGTCGATCAGGCCACTTATTCCGAATTGAGTGAAATTTTCAAGTCTGCTCAAATTCAGAAATCATATATATATATATATATATATATTAACCTTAATATTATAATTTTATGTAAATTGATCTATTTTATTTTAATAATAATTGACGATATTCAGAATACTTTCGCATTAGGAAAATAGTCTTTTAAGTGTTCAGGAAATTTGAATTGTCTAAATAAATATACATCACTCAGTTTCGCACAATTCTTCGAGTTGTATTCCGTCTTAAATTGCGTGTCACCTTTTTCACAGATTGATAATTCATTGAAAGGCGAAGATTATTTGGTGAACACGTTTTGGTGTCCACTAAAAATTGTTCATGATAATCTATGTGAGCACCAGCAAGATCAAGACGAGCAAGATGAAGATATTCAATGATTGGAAAGTCTTTATTTTCGTTTTCTGATTTTCTAATTTGTTTATCAGTTTGTCGTTTCTGATTAACTACAGTTAATTCTCTCAACAGTGGAAATGATTGAGCAATTTGAAGAAAAAATTTGTGTTCAAAAGAACGTTCATCAACTAATTACACTTTACGAACACATTTAAATAATCCACTTAATCGTGTCATATGATTGATAACACTTGTCTTTAAGACATTGCCATGAATAAATATTGTTTTGACACAAACTAGAAGAGATAAATCAAGTTCTTCTAAATTTGGCATTCGATGTAAAAGTGGTACAATTAATTCATCGTAGAGATCTGTACTAATATCACTACATAGCAAAATTGATCTTAGATTAGGTAGTTTTTTCTAGAAAAAAGAACAACCATCACTTTATTAGAATAAATTAAATATTAATCAAAACGATTTACCTTATTATTGATTGTTAAACGTGAAATGGTTATGAATTCAATTTTAACATAAAATTTACAAAGCTGATTGAAACGTCCATCAAGTAAATAAAGACAATCAATAAAAGTGTTCAAACAAACGTATAATTCTAACAGAGTTGAAGAGATAATAGTTGGAGACGAAATATTGAAAGATAACTGTTGATACCAAAATGAAGATGAACCAAAACTTAAATATTGCAGATTAGTGAATGTAGTAAGGATATGTGGGAATAAAAGTTTATGCGCATTTTCTGCTGCTTTTTGTTTTCCATCTCCATCAGTGTCCATAACCAGCACTGAAATTTGTTTTTTCAAAGTACAATTGAAAAGAGTTTTATCTAAATAATGAAAAGATTAAAAATATTAACGTCTCGACAACTAAAAATTTCACCATTTATTTCTTCTTGCTTTTTAATGCAATTCGATAGAGCTAGTCGAATTAAATAGGAAAAATACGATGAAAAACCTTTAAAAGTCATATTTCGACGAACAAGTTTGACAAAGCCTTTTTCTTTTGTTATAAATATTCTTTTTTTTATCACAATCGTAAATTTTTCTCATCTATTTTATTTAAAATTATCTTTTTCACCAGGAGAAATTAATGATTTCACTATTTTCATTTTGTAGAATTGTAACCTCGTGATATTTGTACATTTAGAAGGATACCCAACTGCGATTTTTTTTCTTATGTATACACGCTGAAATATGATTTCAAAACTTTTTATGTCTCAGTTACTCTCCAATGATAAAAAAATTTTCATTTTCAGTTTGAAGTATTTTTATCTAGTATCATATAAATCGTCAAAACCCATCACGATATTCATAGTTTTATTGGAATTTGGTTCAAAAATAAGAAAATTAGGTGGATCTGTTTGGTTCTAAACCCTATAGAGCCCATTCATATAGAAAAAAATTTTCTCGATACTAAAAATATTTAAAAATAGAATTGATAACAGATTTTTTTGATCCATTCACTATCTCTGAGAAGCTTCAGCTACTGTCAAAATGAATACAGCTTAGATCTTGTGTTTTTCAATTGAAAACATGGTCTTTCCCAGGCTACTGCAATGTCTCGCAAACCATCAATTTGCCGTATGGATACTCGTGCGATATCTGGTTGACTTCTTTTCCTCATAAAAAAATGTTCATACGTAGGTAAAATTACGTAGATACTATAAGTTTGGATGCGAATGGGCTCTCTTTTGTTGAATTACGGCATAGGAACTTTTGTTTAATAGATACAAATTTGAAACATCTGATCTGGTAAAGAATGTTATCGAACTCATGATCTCAATATTTGTTGAACATTCTTTCAAACTTGGATAAAACGTGAAAAATTGGGTTAGATCAAAGTCATTGGGCTACCCCGAACATAACTTTATAAAGCGCTTTTGAACGACGTTTTTATTTTCTATTAAAAAATCTGTATAAGGATCAGAGCGAAAAAACTCCTAGAATATTTCTTATTGTCTGATTAAATTTCAATAAAATTTTGATATTCGTGATCAATGTGACCAGTTCTAAAAGACTAGATAAGAAAACTTCAAATTAAGAATAAATTGTTTTTGGCCTCCTAGGAAGCTTCCCTACCCGGCAGGAAAATTTTTCAAGTCACATATCAAAAGTTTAACTCAGCAGGGTACCCCTACCAATTCACGAATGTCATTAACGTTTAAAAGTTCAAGAGAATATCGAAAATTTATCTCAATTTCTTGGTTGATATAAACATTTATGCTCTATTTGAAACGATCTCGTTCATGACAGTTTTATCCTTATTCATATTGATAAATAAAAATAAAGGACAAGTTATGTGAAAGATATTAAAATGTATAGTTATTCAATAAATAAGATTAGAAGTTAATTGAAATGATTTTACTTGACATATAGCTGTAGTGTATTTATCAATGGAAGATTCGAAATGAAATATCTTACCAAAAAAAAGATGGGCTGCTCTTTTGGCTTGAATTTTATATATGCCAAGTCTATATAGATTAGGATAATTTGTCGCAAGAAGAATACATTCCATTGACGACGATTCAAGTTGAAGTCATTCGATTTTTTGACGAGTTTTAGGTAAGATATACGAACAAAATCGACCAAGTATTGGATCAACAAACGAATAAAAACAACCATTAGAAGCAAATGTCATTAAGGCCAAATACTTTGTAAAAATAGAATGATATACTATTTTATTTAAAAGTATATCAACACCTATTAAAGAATTAAGTAATGCGACATTATTCAATTTTTTAAAAATAATCAGAAGAATTTCATCAGGTAAATGATTTAGTTCAACACATGAAATATCCCATGTTCATCTCCATTCATCTATTCTTTTTCGTCTGTAAATGTTGATATTTATATGGACGTTTTCATGTGTTCTATTTGACCGATGTCGTCAATGACAAACCGTGAAGGTTTTTTTAGTCTGAATGGGTAACGAATGAGTTGATGACTGATAGTATAATCTTTTTTTTGTTGTTGTTTAACATATCATTTAATATGGAGATAAAAATTTAGGAAATCTCTTTATGTTCTACACTATAATAAACAGACTTACATAACTATGATTTCATTGATGCTTGACGGAATTTATATTTTGAAAATGAAAAACGATTTCATTTTTAAATTTGAATAAAATATTGCAAGAGATGAAATTTAATATTTGTGAACTTTTAGAAATGAACGCGAATCGAAAATTTTCTACTGAGGCTGGTAGGCACTGTGAAAAAAAGAAGAGTATTTTTGGAAACCTATTTGGGTCGGTTTCCGACCTTTATTTTTTAGAGTGTACATTATCATTGTCATCTCTTCTATTCTGACGGAGTTACGTGAAAAAAACGATTTTATATGTTAATATTTATACCCATCTCGCCTATTTTTTAATAACTGCGTTGCGCCGCAATGCTCGCGGCAAGTTTTAACCCGTGTCATCGCTAGCGATTGAATAGCGGCGTGATATCGCCACTATTATCGATCGCATACTGATCCCTTTTAGCGCCCGCTATGTCCACAATAGTGCGATGTAACGACAATATAAATAATTTTACGCGTTATAGTGTCGCACAGTCGAATATTCCGGTATTTTACTGCACCTGTATTCGTAGTGGACCATAGGTATATTTAAAAGCTTTACTTGTAAATAAGTTCAACAAATAGTTTTATTTTCGAAATTTTAACTGATCACACAAGAAATCACAATCTTAAATGACCACTAATATAAAATTCATGTGGTATTCAACAAGAAAACATGATGAATGCGAAAGCAAAGAAAGTTTTACAAAAATGAAATTTCTTATACGAAAGAATTCTTAACGTAGACTACATAAAGCTAAGTTGACAATCCACAAAGACATAATTTTTCAAATGTCATTCCCCTGTAGCTGGAATCTCCCGCAAGTCAGTGCTTAAATTGCCGTCTGATGACGTAAAAATCTAAATACATAAGATAAAAATAATTAAAAAAATAAATTCTGTACTTAATAGAATTGAGAAAGGATTTGTACCATTAGCATCAGTAGCGCCTAAGGTTTTTAATGAAAATAATATCTAAAGAAAGGGAGAATAAAAAAGTAGAGCAATAGAAATTTTGATTTACTATAATGCATTCGATGTTTCTAATAAAATCTGAGAAAATGTCTACTGTTGAATATTTTCAGAAACTAAGTATAGTCGTCTGGGGTAATTCGGATCAATGTTCAAAACAAATCGTTGTATTACAGCTATAACTCAAGTATTTTACATTCGACAAAACAGATTTTTTTGCCAACAGATGGGGTGTAGCTGTGGGTTTAGGTGTATTTCTTTAATTGACCCACACACCCGCACCCTACAAATTAAATTGATTTTCTATTAATTATTTATAATATTGGAAATTTATCAAACTTTCGTTATTTTTAATTAAACGTTCCCATTAAAAAAGAACAAACATTTCTTTTCATTCTCGAATATATAAATATCAATGAATATTTACTAACATGGAATCAGATCAGTCAATTTACTTCTTGTCTCAAACAAGTTTTGAGAGATATATTGATTATATACCATCTCCTATTGCAACACTAATCAATTTAACCTTTGCTATTTTGTGTACATCCATCTAATGTTTCAAAAATGATTTCCTTTTTTCATTGCAAAATATACCTAATCTACGTCGTTTGAATGTCACTTTATGTTCTGAATTAATTAATAGTTTTCAATGGAAAAAAATCATTGGCAATTATTTGCCTAAACTTAAATTATTTGAATTCGATATGAACAAAACATTCTATTCAGTTGAAATTAGACAAGATCAAGTCAATCAATTAATTGATTCATTTTGAAGTTCATTCTGGATTGGAGAAGACCAATAGTTTGTTCGATGTGTTACAGAAAAGGAAACTATTTATCTTCACATTCTATCTAAATCATGCCATAATTGTGAAGCACATCTTTTCGTCTTATGAAGATCAACAAACATTTGTGGCAGATGAACCTGTATATTATATGAATGTTTAAAAAAAATGTTCATCAAGTGTAACACATAACATAAGAGAAGAAATAATGTTATTCATTCATTGTCTGTTTTACATCATTAGACTACAGAAAAAAAATACATATCATTGTTTTTATTGACGATATCAGTCAAATAGAACGTAAAATTATTGATATTCATAACGTAAGAAAAATAGATATATATATAGATGAAGATGGAATATTCATCTTTTCAATTGAATGATTTACTTGATAAAATTACTTTTATTATTTTCGAAAACAAAAAAATAAACTTGATGTTCTGTACTCTTTCATAGATGTTAATAAACGACTCAATAACATTGTACATGATCCCACTTTTACTAGTGGTTTAACATTATTCAATTATTTATCATATGATTGTATTTATCCATTATCTGATTTAATTCTTGAACGATTTTGTTTACAGATCTTACCTAAAATAGCTCGTCAAATTAAATGGCTTGATCTTGAACCATTATCTATGAGACGTATTCTTCTTTCTGCAAATTATCCAAATTTATTTGAACTTAGTATATATAACATTGAAAAACAGACTGCTTTAAACCTATTTACTAGTAAAATATTTTTATTTCGATCCTTTTAATAATTGATATATTAAAACGAATGACAGTTCGGATGATTATAACTAACTTTATACAGTTAGATATCTACATATTTGGTTAACATGTGTCAAAAAAAGTCTTTATTCGATTTTCCTCCACTTATCAATTACAGGAGATAATCAAAAGTAGTGAGCAAGAATGGCAATGTTGTGCTCTGTTAAAATATATATT